CCTGTCCATACCAACGGCCGTGGCTTGGTGACCTCCTGAGCCACGGCCCCATCCAGTCCTACGGGGATTCAAGTCTCCAAAATATGCCGTACTTTCAAATCCACACCATCTTTTTCAGGGCTGTGTGTTCAGGCCTGCCCAAGAAACCGGTGTGTGAGCAACCAGCCCACCAGGGCGACTGTCTGCTTTAAGAAACGGCAGAGCGCCATCTGTTGGTCCTTTCCTTTCCTCAGTGAATCGAAGCTCTCTGACCCCCATGCCCAAAAGACAAGCCCCCGAGGAGCAAAGGCAAGTTGTAAACTCGTACACACTCGTTACTTTTCCTTCTTCTGAGCACTTAAGAGCAGCAGCAACCCCAAATTTAGATGTCCGAATCACCGCCTTCTTTCTTTATCGTCACAGAGCCAAATCTTGCAACTTCTGAACGCACCGAACATGCATTTTTTGGTGTCCGTGTGTGTCCTGGAAGTGTTAAGAGATAGTGCTTTAAATTTAATTTTCGTTGATAGCCCCTGTATTTATCAAACTTTTCTGGAGAGTGGCACTAGGCTGGGGCGAGGGGCAGGGCCCATGCGTTTGCTCTGCACAGCTGGATGTGTGTCTTACAGCACCAGAAAACGAAGTGAGTAGCAGCTGCCCTTGGAGATGCAAGGAAACAACCTGGGGGCGGGCAGACAGGCAGACAGACAGAGCCCTAAATGCATCGGTCCTGGTGAGGCGCAGCTGGAGTCACTTTGCTCTGGCACTGATGAGGTTTGGAGATTCTCCGGAGGAAAGCTCTGGGCCGGCATGAGGCAGAAGCCACAAGGCTTAACTAGCTGTCACGTCGAGAAATTCCAAATTTCCGGGCTGGAGTTGGGGGAGCTTACCGGATGCATATCAAAGCTTTCACGCAAATTGTGGGAGCGTGATGGAGGTCTAGAGCAAAAAATGATAAGACCCCTATCAAGGGAATAACTTAATTAACCGGCCTTGATCAAAGAACTGCATGAATTCAATAGCCCAGTTTTGAGAGCTAAATGAGAACATTTAAAGAAACTGCACTTGACTGAATTATCAATTTTCCTGGCCAAGGAGCTTTGAAGTAGAATTATGCAGGGCGGGGAATTGTCCCTTCGCAGAGGCAGCTTCTTCCCCACTGCAAAGATACTTGAGACCAAGCTGGGCCCAGTCCGTGTACAAGAGCAAAGCTAGCGCAGGAACTCTGGCCCAGTTTCACAGAGAAGGCAGCGAAAGTTGGGAGTCTCTGCTGATCGATCCTTCTCTTCCCGCAGAAGAGAACGGACTTCTGGAAGACATAATTTGTCTGGTCGCCACAAATCCACAAATCATTCAACTGAGCTGAGATTATTGTGAATCCAACAGCAGATGCCACAGTGGACCAGCTTTTCCCAAGTCACGCTGATTCCACAAACGTGTGACGAGCGTTTTGTTTACCTTTGAGGAAGGGTATTTCTAGCCATCTCGCTTCTGCATTGGAATGTGTTAGCATTCATGTGCCTTTGCGCTCATGCGCATTAACGCAAAACAAATGCGTTTGAATGCAATTAGCTTGAAGCAACTGAAATTATTGTCTATCTCGTTTAAAAACCTGCTTCTGTCAATGGAAAGGTGATGGAGCAAAAGATGCTTGACCATCAGAGACATCTCTAGAATGCAGTTAACAAAATCTGTCACCTGCAAGAAATTTGCACTCACCAGAGGCAATGAGGGGGGGGGCATAACTCAGTGGCAAATCACACACACTTCAGTCCGTGGCTTCTTCATTGAGGAACACAAAAAGCTATCATTCCAAGTCTGGGCCCTTGGTCCAGCTCACTTAGCAATGTCTTCACCCAGGATGCAGAACGTCTTCCAGGCTGAGGGCCAAATTCCATTTTGAAGTTCTCGGGGGCCACATTCTAGTAGTAGGCAGAGCCAGAGACCAAAAGGGACTGGACAAAAGGCAAAGGGGAGAGGGAGAAAAATGGTAGCGTGTTTTTAGCTTCAAGCCCCTCCTGTCAGTAACCAAAGCTTAGCGTCAACATTTGAGCATGTGGCAAAGAGGGAATTTGTGCACCAGAGCTGTGGGAACAACCAGACAATCAGCAGTGTGCTCCTACTTTGGTTTCAGTGTGCTCTCGGTGGCACATGGTTTATCGTTTTGCTTGTGGTTCTGACTCAGTGCTCAATAAACCCATATCTGGGTTAAAGACACAGAGGCGACACAGAGGTGGGTCGGGTTATCCTTGGAAGCTGAACTCCATGGCTGTGGGTTGCCCCCACTGTGAAGCACGGTGGGTTTTTTCCTGTGCCCCTGCTTTCTTCCTTCACCAGCCATCCCGGCGGGGAAAGTAGACCGTGTGGAACGGGTGCTTTCAGCCGGTGCCCGAGCACTGTGGGAGTGTTGCCCCTGTGGCTTCTTCTAATGCCACCCACCCACCCGTCAGCATTTGACCAGCACGCAGAAAGTGTGGCCTTCTCCCCTCTTTCTTGCAGTCCCTTCCTCCAACAGCTGGAACCCCGTCTCTTCTTGGGCCTTGCGTCTTGGCCACGTGGAGCAGAAAGAAGCACATACCACACTTTGGGGCACTGGGAATGTTCACAAACATTCCATGACACCCCCGTAGCGCCGCTTGTGTTCAGGGAGGTCCCGTTTCCATCTGCTGAACCCAGAGCCTGCACAGCCGAGTTCCGTGGAAGTTGCAAAACGTGTTGCTGACTTGGACCGCCAATTATTCCCTTTGGTTGGATTTATTTGGGTTGTTGGGGGGGGGGGCAAATCAGAAAGGGCACGAGGTTTCCTGGAGGTCGCTATGCTCTGCCCTTCATTTACCATTTCACCCACCTCTGTTTGTCCGTCACACGCATTGCAACAGCTGACCCAAACCTTGGCTATGGGTTCAAAGGCAGATACGCAGATGCCCTCAGCCGCCCACCCCCTCCTTCTGCAACAGTTGGTCATGAAGTTCCCAAGGACTCTTTGGAGAGCAAGTGGGCGAAGGGCATCCTTCTCTCCTGCCCACCCCCGCCCCCAGTTGTGTTTTCCTGCTGCCATTCTGGAGGTGAGAATATAATTCACATCAGAAGAGTTAGTGGGCTGAAAATGAATTGGTGGAATCAATCCAGAGGGTATAAATGAATTAGCATGTAAATGAGGACACTTGCTCGACATAGTTTCGTATTGCCTGCAGCTGTAAATAATTCCAGGGTTGGAATCAAATGATGCAAACAACTTCATTTTGATGCTTCCTTCCCTCCACCCACCCAGCCTCTCTTCCACTCAGGAGCACCTGTAGCAACGAGCCATGGATCCGCCTTTTGGGGAGCAGGAGGTTGCCAGGGATCTACATTCTAGGTGGATCAAAGAAGGATCCATCCTCCCCGCCCCTCCTGTTCCTCCCACGTTCCTCCCACATGGCAGCACAATTTGCGAAGTCGCCTGCAGCTTTCCCTCACACCTCTGCTCGCCCAGGCACATTCCCCCTCACGGAGCCCACTTAAGACCGGACAAGGTGTTCCACTGGTGTCAAGCGATCTTCACGAGGCTGCCCTGGATCTCAGGGAAGACTTCAGCCAAGGACAAAGAAGGAACGCCTGTGCAGAAAAGGGTCAGTGCAAGATACAGGCCTCTTAAGTGGGCTCACACAATTACTGATCCTTGTTGTTGCTGCTGCTGTTGATTTGGTTTCATTTCTGTACCGCCCAATATCCGAAGCACTTTAGTGGGTTTACATTGATCTGCGACCCAGACCCATTGATCTGTGTCTAAGGGTTGTGGTGCCTGGGATGAGGGAAGGGCACTTTGCCCATGTTTATAGATAGTCTCCCCTGTATGATCACGGCGTGTGTTCTGGAGCTGACCTTAGCACAAATGCATGGGGACAAATAAGGAGATGCCGAGGTCCCATAACACAAACTCTGCCCCTCGGCCTGTTCCAGGCAGCAACCGCCAGTCCTTCCTGTCTCCTGTTAGCTGATCCTTTTCCCAACGCAGGGCAGGATGGACCCTTCTGCTCAGCCATGGAGCTATGCTCCCTCTTGAGACGTTGCGGTCAGGCTGGGCCGGAGCTGCAAACTTATGACGGAAACCCCGAGCAGGCCCATTTAGAGCAAGAGGATATGTCCCAGAAGGCACCTTGCTTGGGACTCGAGTAGCTACCCAACAGCACTGCAAGGAAGAAAAGGCAGCTCTTTCAGGACCTGGGACAGCGCCCGGGTCAGCAGAGAAGTTGCTCTAGCCCTGGCCCACAAAGCCTCCTTCAACAAGGGGGACGGATTCCATTTCAGAGGGCTGCGTTCCAGCCGTGGGCCGGACTAAAGGCAAAAGGGGTGTGGCCAAAACCCCGAGATGCTCGCCTCTTTTAGCTTACTAACACCGCATTGCATTTGTACTGCTCCTTTCTTTCTTTTGCAAGAAACTCAAGGCAGTTTACAAAGTTCTTTTCCCCCTCTCTATCTCATCCTCTTCACAACAACCCTGTGAGGTAGGTTAGGCTGAGAGGCAGCAACTGGCCAAAGATACCCAATGGGATTCATGGCTGAGTGGGGCCTAGAACCGGCGTCTCAGGCGTCCCTGTTCAACATTATCGCCAGCACTCCACACTGCTAGTAGCTCAACCTCCGGAGAGACATTTCGGCCTTTTAGAAAGTGGGAAAGGCTGCGCAAGAGCAGGGGGCCAAAGAATGACCAATGGCGGGAAGAACGGGCCTGGAGAAGGGCCATGGGCATTTAGACATGCTTGAAAGCCCGGACTTCGCCTCCCAGCTCAAAGCTGTAGCAACAGGGTTCCGGAATTAAGCCGACTATTTCTCTCCTTTTCCTGGCAAGTCATGCGAGTGGAAGGGTGGGACGGAGGAACCAAAGGCATGTCAAAAGGGGTTGGCATTCTTGGGATCGGAGGGCAAGGGTGTATTTACTTCCCTAAGTGTGCAAGGAGGCCAAGTGGTCCTTCATCTCCCTCCCCATTTTTTAAACTTCTGAACTCAACGCAGCACCTTCTGTTTTTCTTGTCTTTCAGACCATGCCCATCTGATGACACGCAGTCACATCAGCAGTGGTGTAGTGGACCCGGGGCCCGCAGGGACGCTACCTCCAGCCCTTCTCACTAGCTGGGACTCCCTAACCCTGCTCAAGCTTCCTCTGAGTTTGGCTGCAAACTTCATAGCAGCTGGCAAGGAATGGAAAGCAGCAGCCAATGTCCAGCAGCAGCCGATGTCCTACGAAGCATCATGGGCCGGCTTGCTCAGCTACGGCAATGACGATCCATTTCCTTGACCAAAGACCTCCTCCCAGGGGAACAGAAATGGTTCCTGCCTGTGGATCAACCCAGCCTCCGAACTCCGAGACTCTCCTTGAGGTTCTGGCTGTCATGATATGAGGCCACTCTTCTCCCACATTGTCACTGGCCAGCCCCACACAGCTAAGTGGGGCCAAAGCGTGGGCTGTCCTTGTGCTGAACAGTCCTGGAGCCTTCAGCGGCTCCCTGCAGGTCCTCCCACGGCCTTTCCCGGGGCCATTCCCACTGGGAAGGCTGGGTGTTGCAGTCCAAACCAGCTGGAAGGCATAAGGCCAGGGAAAACCACACCAGAGTTAGAGATGCCCCAGGAAGTCGCACCCAAACTCATGTCCCGTGGGCAGGTCCTTGGTCCCCTGCATCTCCCCACCCTCCCGTGCTTTCCCTTTTCCTTCTTCCCCTGGAACTCTCTCGGTTGTGACACTGACGGATGCTGTCTTGCTCCTTTCATCAGGCTGCAGTTTCGGGTTCCGTGCAAACCAGATCTCCCAGGTGAACCGGGAGCACTGATTAAGACAGATTGAGTAGCAGTGAGTCCATTAAATTGTTAATAAAGGATATTACACCCCCTGCACCCCCTATCTTAATCGGCAACTACGCTGACACCTTATAAAAGTACATTAGGGCCTAATCCAATTGCAAGGCCAGGCAGCCAAGGCATCGCCTCCCCACCCGAAATTGAAATTATATCCTATTCCTCATTTCTTAAATTAAAAAGCCGAACCCTTTCAGTTTGCTCTCATAGGCTTGTGTAAAACTTAATCAGTGGCTTTAACGATGTTGTTCTGGGTTTTTCCTCCCGCAATATGGACTGTTTCAGCTCTCATTTATTTACAAAGGAGAACTTCCTGGTAGGAGAAGTGATTCAATTTGCAGGCGGATACATCAAGCACTTAAGGATTTCGCTCAGGATTGATTGATTATTTATCGTGTTATCTTGCCTGAAGCCGTCTGATATGGCTTTGCTCTCGCTATCTCTCTTTCCACCTAATGCTCTTCCTTTCAGTATCTTTCTCCCTGCCAAAGTGCTCTAAGGCCTTTCTCTGTGCGCGTGTGACAGGAGAAGGAAGATGTCGGGAAATCTCCAACCTTCTGCTGCCTGTGTGGGGAATAGAGACGTTGGCACCACCGCAACGCGCAAACACACCAGCTGAATGAAACGAAATGCCATGACACGACATGGAATGGAATGGACACGCTTCTGTCCCTTGGACCCGCTCTGTGCCAAGGGTGGGCAAGCCTCAGACCCGCGGGCTTCTTTCCTCTTCCTACTAGTGGAAATCGCAACAAAGCGTCGGGGTGGCTCACAACGGGAACAAAATTATCCAATAAAAAAATTAAAACCCGGTGCATCTCGGCTTAAAAAAAATTTAGAATCCTACAAATAAGTTCACAGCCCGAAAGCTACCCTGGTCACCCTTTCTGCCCAAAACATTTATTCACTGAGGAGACGCAAGGAATGCTTGTCGGATTTGCAGATGACACAAAACTGGGTGGGATGGCGAATACCATCCCTGGAAGACAGAAGCAAAATTCAGAGAGATCTGGACAGGTCGGAGGGCTGGGCGGAAAGCAACAGAACGAGATTTACTAAGGGCAAATGCCAAGTGGAAAAGGGACCCAGATTCACTGCCACAAGCTGAGAGATTCTTGACTCAGCTGTACTGCAAGTGAGAAGGACCTTTGCCGTCATCCCAAAGCGCAGGGCATGGAACAACGGGCTCAAGTTACAAGAAGACAAATTCCGGCTAGGCTTCAGGAAAAACTTGGAACAATTTGAAAATGGAACCCAAGACCTAGGGAGGGGGCGGGCTCTCCCACTCTGGAGGCATTCAAGATGCAGCAGGATCTGAGAGAGACGCTTCGGCTTAACAGTCCTGCACTGAGCAGGAGCTGGGCAGGAAGGCCTTCATGGACCCTGCCAGCCCTTCTGTGATACTGAGATCGCTTTGGCCATCACTGTGCAGTATTGTCAGTTTGGGTACAATCCTGCACATGCTTAGACAGAAAAAAGAAAACCTGATCCTCAGAATTGCCTAGCCAGTGGTAGAGCTTTTTTTCCATCTAAGCGTCCATCTCACCACAGATTTTTACAATACTTCTAGAAAAGACTCTCCTTGCAACATAGAAATGTTTATAAATGTTTGCAAAATGCTCGTAAAAATAAATACCACTTTATCCTGTACACCAGGAGCATTTAGCTCTTGCAGTTTTGTTTTGCTTCTTGTTTTTTAGCAGCCACATAATGCTGCTTGGTTTGGTTACATACAGATCTGGGAGTGTGATACAGATTTTGCTCAGCAAAAGTTCTATCCCAGAGAAGGAAGGAGAACTGAATGACTAACCTTCTGCAATCTGAGCATGGCATTCACAAAGATGCTGGAAAATGGGAAGATTCACACCTTGCATGTTTACCTTCCGTCCAAATAAGCAGAAAGCCGGGGCAGCTCAGAGGTGTCACCCCAGCAAATGACTTGCCAAAGAGGGCAAGTCAAATAATGAGGGAGATAACTGCCTGGCCTTATGAGGATCCTGAGTTAATTTTATTTGTATGCAGGAAAATAAACTGTTTGGATGCAAGGGTTTGCTGGCTAAATCAGTAATGCATAAGTTAATAAACAAACCTCGCATGCAAAGTGAGACCGACTTCTGCACAAATATTGAGAACTGGGCTGCATAGTTACATGCGTCTACCTCTGATCAAACAGGCCGGGGAATAGCATCTGTGTTTCTCTAGCTGGGCACCCTAAAACACTTAAGGTGCTCTCCGATGCGAGTTTAGACAGAAAAAAGGCCTACAATTCCCAGAATGCAACTTACTGAGTTGGGTCCAGATTTGCTGCTAAACAGAGTGGGCCCATTGAAGTCAGTGAGGGTTGAATGAGCCATAAGCAATTTAAGCCCCATTGATTTCAATGGAACTAGTCCATGTATACATACATCTGGGTGCAACCAGTGAATTCAAAGCTCTTTGCCAGCAATGGAAGACACTGTGACTTATGCAGTTAATTGGTTTGATGTGCCTCGGATCCCAGCTCCCTGGATGAGCAGAGTCTAGCGATGGTGACCCATGCTCTGGTACCCTCCCAATTGGACTATTGTAACACGCTCTACGTGGGGCTGCCCTTGAAGACGGCCCAGATACTTCCATTGGTTCAGGGTAGAGAAGGCAGGTTGCCAGCAGATACACGCATACAACACCAGTCCTGCACCACCTGTGCTGGCTTCCAATTGAACTCCAGGCAGAAGTTAAGGTGCTGGTGATGCCTTAGGTAAAGGTTTCCCCTTGACATTAAGTCCTGTCATGCCTGACTCTCGGGGGTGCTGCTCCTCTCCGTTTCCTAGCTGAGGGAGCCAGCGCTTGTCCGCAGACGGTCTCCGTGGTCGTGTGGCCGGCATGACTAAACACCAAGGTGCACAGAACGCTGTTACCTGCCCACTGAAGTGGCACCTTTTCATCTACCTGCATTTGCATGCTTTCGAACTGCAAGGTTGGCAGGAGCTGGGATGGAGCAATGGGAACTCACCCCGTTGGGCAGATTTGAACCGGCGACCTTTCGATCTACCAGCACAGCAGCACAGCGGTTTAAACCACTGCGCCACCTGCAGTCCCAGTGATGCCTTATAAAGCCCTAAATGGCTTAGGACCTGGGTTTTGAAGGAGCGCCTCCTTCCGTACATACCTGCCCGGCCCCTAAGATCAGAAGCGGAGGTCCTTCTTTGGGAGCCCCCTTTGAAGGAGATCAGAAGAGTGGCTACCCGGAGGAGGGCCTTCTCGGTGGTGGCGCCTGGCCATGGAATGGGCTCCCAAGAGAGGTGTGCCTGATGCTGATGCTTTTTCTTTTCAGTACCAGGCCAAAACCTTTTTATTCCCCATTATTTTAAATGTTAATACTGCTTTAGGGCTGGGTTTTATTTACTGTATGTTTTGATGCTGTAATTTATTGTATTTGATTGTATTACTGCCCTAAGACATAGTGCAGAGTGGGGTATAAAAGCTTTAAACAAACAAACTTTTCTCCCTTTTTCACTTTTGCACCCTCTCCAGGTTTGACTGAATTTTTAAGAATAGCTTCCTATTTCTAATCAGAGATGTGGTTTTAAAAACAAAAAGAATTCCAAGGCTGGCAGCGGCACAGAGAACAACATTATTCATCAAATTAATTCCACAGAATGCAAGGGAACTGGGAAACCACCAGATTCTTCCAATTGAGATGTCAAGCAATATTTGGGCATCAAAAATCTGTTGTAGAAGAGAGCCAAATGTCTGACTAATGTGATTTTTTTCTAATAAATTCAGGCATCTAAGACAAATGTTCAATATTTACAGGGATGCTTGGAAAAGGAGAATGGGAAGCAGTTGCATTTAAATTTTGACATTACAACATTAAACCCGGGTTCAAATTACCATGAAAAGGTTTTCAACAAACTACTTGAGGTGGTGTGATCGATCTGAAAAGTGGTGGAGTCGCCTTTGCTGGAAGTATTTAAGCTGAAGTTGGACAGGGAATTCTCAAGAATGCTGTAGCCATTGTTGCATTATCAAGCGTCTGTTTTAACTTGGCTAAAAGAATGGGTAACGTTGCGAAATAAGAGAATTTTGTATCTTGAAGGTCATGACTTGCAGATAGGATGGCACGCTTATATGTGGTATGAAAAAGCTAAGTCACATGGGTCCTTCCTGAGTCATTTTATTAGAAGATCTTTAATGTCAGTGTGGGAAAAACTAAAGCTAAAACTGTATAATAAGTTACCAAGATGGCTTTCACCTATGGAAGCTTTTGTACATCCAAATGTATTGAACTTTGAAAAGATCATAAGATATGGCGATATCCTGGATCAGGATGGTGGCCTGAAACTGGAGCAAGAAATACAAGAACAGGGACTTAATATTTCCTGGTGGTATAAGGTGCAGATGCAATCAAGATATGAGAAGGATTGTAAAACATGGGGGTTCTATAGAGACCTAACAGAATTTGAT